GTGTTTGCTCCGAATCTAATTGAATGTTTGATTTAGAGTTTTAAAGCTCCAGTGTGTCACACTGAGGAGGATCTATGCAATATAATGTTCATAGATGTGTTTTCATTAGTGTATAATCACCCTACACACTTGGAAGGCAAACAGTATTCAGTTGGTTGCAATATGTACACTAGACGCAACTAGATCAGTGGTTTTCGTTCAGGGACCTCTCATTTACTCACTGCAAGTTTGTGTAAAACGAGAGATTTGGATGAATTTTGAGCAGATTATTTCCTGTTTTTATACAATTATCTGTCTGTATTATGTGTTTATTATCATTTTGTAACAATCATACAGACTTAATGGGCTTTTTTTGTGACAAATTCAGTGTTTTCTTATCCCTGATGCTTGGCCATTGTTCTATTAGACAATTTACTTGGTGAGATGCCTACTGTGTATATTTTTCAAGTTTTTTTTTACACCCCTTAAAAGCAAGAAGGCATTGTGATCCCGACTCCTAGGTTGGGAATCACTGGTTTAAGGGATCAAAAAAAAACTAATGAAATGAAGGTAGATTAGTAAACTCTAAAAGTAAGAAAAGATACATAAAAGTAAAACATTAAATCAGAAAAAAACTAAATTATTGTTATATAAAAGGTGAAAATAGAATTGTTGATATTCATGCACAGACCAGATTTTTACTTCATTGATCACAATCTGTACAACACAGAGGCAAAAAAATTGATAAAAACGCATATTTCTAGAAATAATTCAGACAGCAGATGTTGTCGACGGTCACCAAAACAACCCGCAGTTGCTCTCAGAGAGTCCTTGCTGTCCCGGTATTCAGGACTCTGAGAGCCTCCTTACACTCGCTCCTGTAGAGACAACAGAGAAGAATGCGGGACAATCTGTGATCCTGCAATTTACACAAGATCCTCGGGGAGTTTTAAAAAATGACGATGAGGTCTGCAGACACGACCGTAAAACCCGCTGTGCATCACCTTAAACAACCTCACCTGCAAAAACAAGCCAACTGTACATTGAGGTGTACGAAAAGGTGAAACGAGAAGAAAACGGGACCCTTAAAGTCCAATTTAAAGAACCTCCAAGAATGATTATTTGAAGAAAACTCTAAAAACAGCTTTAATTGACGTTAAAGGTCAGATGTTATTGATTCTGTGTGTACAGATTCTGTTTAGTGATGATCAACTTGAAAAGACATTTCACTGAATCTTTTCCATGACAACAAGAATAACAATAATCATGAAATTTCCACCAAAGCCTGAAAAGATGACAAACATTAAATTCAACAAGGATTCACTCTGCAGCTGCAGGATTCATTTCCACCACAAACACAAGACACAAAATGTCCGCTGAGATTTCTTCTTCCCACAGTACTGATGATAAATTAACTGTTACATTTGTTTTAGGGCCAAAACGCACTACAGCAAGTCACATTGTCATATGTTTAGTAGGTTTATAGCAGTGTGTCTGAAATGGGAGTATGTGCACCCCAAGGGGTAAAATATGTTAATTTAAAAAATGCATAATTCCTAAAAGAATTATGGTATTATTTTGTAT